AATTAAAATATTTGAATAATTTTTTGTTATACGGCTTGAATCCCAAAGAACTGCTTATGTTTTATAAAACGATAAATCACATACTAATATATAATATTTTTTAATAAAATTTTTTTAAATAAATTTTTGCTGTTAATTTTGCTCTGCCAGGACATAAAAAAGCAATGAGCTCGCTTTGAAAAGCTTGCATACATCAGGTAAATAACTATTCAAGCAAGCATTAAAGCTTGTAAATCAAAGGATAACAAGTCTTACGATGATGCTATGATGCTTGGAGCATCTAAAATGTTCCTCAGCTGGGATGACAAGCAAATCTGTTTTGAATATACAAGTACATACACATATGTGTACATAAAAGACAGCATGATTACATTACTATATATATACATATATACACATACTAGTGGGCAAGTGGAAAGCTATAGCTTCGAAATCAAGCTTTTAAAGCCCCATGTCCATCTCTAACAAAACGCCAGCAGTTACTTGCTATACTTGTATGATAGTCATGCTGCTTTGCATCAAAAGACACACACAGTGGTCGCTCCAATGCATTGGAAGCCACATAGCTATAGCCATAGTCATGGCCATATCCACAGAAACGCTGCGCCTCGTTGACTTGGACTGCGGATTTTGTTTTGTGTAGCATGTTTGTGTGTGTGGGTGTGCGTGTGTGTGTGCACACGCCTGGCGGCTATAAAAACGACAAAATGTATGTTGTTCCAGCTGAATTGCAGATTTAGCTCGCATGCTTACACATATATACAATATATGCACTGAGAGAAAAATGCTTGGCTATTTTACAGATTTATTTCATTGATTATTTAGTTTGTAATTTGTCTGCAACTAAAATGTAGCTGAAGCAGCTAATCAAGTCATAAAACTTACTATCCACAAATAAACCCTCCCCTTCATTGCATCTTCATCATCATCATTGTAGTGCTTAGTTTCTTTCTGTGTAGGCACGAGTGTGTGCTACCTGTGCCATTTGTGTTTTACTTTCTGGGTTGTTGTAACAATGTTTTGCCATACACATGAATATATTACTAATGCCTCATTGTGGCATGTGCTTGCCTTTTGCATTAGTCGTGTTGTTCGAATGTAAGCAGCTCTGTAAGGATTAGGCACGACCAGCAAACAGGCAACCATATTTTATGTTGAACTTGCCAGCTGAGCAACTGGATGCCTATTCGCTTAAAAATTAGCAGCAGCCTTCGAATGCAATTAAGGGCTGGTGAATGCTCCAATTGGTTTTCATTACAACTGCCCTCCTTCCGCCCACCTTTTCATCACCCAAATGCCAATCACGGCCAACCGGCTGTGCCGTAAGCCTTAAGCTCCTTAACAGTCGCTATGGTGACGACAGACGCCCTTCCCGCTCCTCCTCTCCGCGAGCAAATAATGTAGTGTGCCTGACGGCCCACCGACATAAATTATAACAATAAAGACACTAAAACGCATAAAAATCTTATTTATACGCCGCTTTCACACGCAAGAACCCCCAGCAGCATACCCGAACCACCAAAAATCGCTGCGTTTGACTTCGACTCGTGGCCATTGCTGATAATTTACGTCCATAAATTAACCAAAACTTCCGTATATACATCAGTACTATTTATATAACAAATGAACGAAGGTGGTATGATAAATCCCCACAATAATTCATAGAGACTTAAGGCAAATTTAAATTAATCGCTGAGCTCATATTTGAATTTAAAACGTAACATGGAAAGGTGTTAGAGATGAACCCATTGGACCCATTTTTTAACCATACCTGAACAAACGACAATGTCGTCCAGTGCTCGTATGAAGAAACAATTCTTTGAAATGCAAAATACTGCCATTAGTTATGAGAGGTGTTTATATTGCAACAATAGAAAATCCACTTGACCTAATTCAAGGATGTGCTTTGTTATGTTTCCATTGATTATTGTTAATACTCTCTTTTAAAATAAAGGCTTTTGTTGGTTACACGAACGATTTTTTACTGATATTTTCTTTCGAGTTCTACTATATGCTGAAGAAGTGCTGGAATTAGAAAAAATTCGAAAAAGCTGAAATGGAAAATTGAAATGCTTTTTAATTATTTATAGGGTCAAAAGTTGAATGGATAGTTAGGATTGAATTGAGTAATCTTTTTTCATTGTTTAAATCAAAGAAATCATTTTTTAAGGGGCTTTACTTCATTACCATTACGAATTTCGAATCTAGGAATTTTAAAAACAACTTAAAATGTTGATATTTAATTACTGAATAGCGTAACATATAGTATGATAAATTGTTTCTTTGTTTGTAAAAATCAATACTCTTTAAAGGATAAAATTAGCATTATTGATTTGCCTAAAAAAAAGGCGTATATTTTAGTTCGCTCGAGCTATTTCAAAATTGTCTAATCTACAGTTTTTTTTCCTTGTATAAGAGTTTTATTTTAATCTGTAAGGCTCAACAGATGTATGTTTACAAATTTACTTGAAAAAAATTTACTTTTCAAAAGTGTTTAAAAACTAATGATAATCTATAGTCTAATCTACAGTTTTTTTCCTTGTATAAGAGATTTAATTTAATTTGTAAGACACAACAGATATATGTTTACAAATTTACTTGAAAAAAATTTACTTTTCAAAAGTGTTTAAAACCATGTTGCCGTCAAATATTTTTCTATTTGCATATTTTCCTACATTTTCTGAAATGTTAGAAACCTCAGGAGCTTTCCGATAATTGATTGCACTGCCTGTGTTTTATTGTGCGCTTTAAGGTAGAGCCTAAATGGCTTGGCACTTGGGTCTACTTTGAAGAAAAGCTAGAAATTATTTCCCTCACGGCTCTTCGTAGCAAACAAACTAATTTGTGGTGTTTAATAATTTATAGCTACAGTTTTCATAAATATTAATAAACTTGTCATACCATCCTCGTAGTGATGCACACACATATACATACACACATATGTGTGTGAATGGCGTAGAGTTCGGAACTGGTCGATGGCCAAACAATGTGTTTCCAATTTCTTTGTGGGCTCCATTCAGGCCCAGCAACGTATGCGGGCGAAATTAAAAACTGCTGATGTTCTCTGCCATCCAGCCGGTCCCGCCTCCTGCCAGAATAGCCTTCGGAATGCCAAAAATGGCTTTGTGCGTAACGCCATTAGTGGGATGCGTGGCCAGCTGGTCAAATGCCGGTCTGGCCTAGAGCTGGTCTGGTCTGGTCTGGTCTGCTCCGGACTCGTCTGATTTCTGTGCGCCCATTGCAATCTGTTGTAATTTTTGCAATGCGTTTGCTGTTGCTTGAATTGTGTCGTAAATCTGCAGAGAGCGTTGATAGCTGAGGCCTATGGCTGTGGGGGCTTAGCAATTCGATGGTTGTTGCTGCCCCAAACCACTGTGGCTCTACTGTGGTCGTCTTCATTACGAATTGATGCGCCCTCATGTGAAATAATTGGCGAGTAGTCCATCGGCGCTTAATAATTCATGCACCAAAGCCAGCTCCGTTGGCATTGGGGCTAATAAGCTTGGACTGCATTGCGTGTAGGCTACGGATACGGTTCCATTGTTATTTCGTTTAGCTCTTTGTCTGTAGTCGGCAGTTCATCAACTTTTGTTCGCCCACCATTCAGTTTACTGTTGTGGGGATTTCTTTAATGGAGCTGTGGTAGCAGCTCCTTCATGTTGCTGCCACTTAACTCGGAATAGCCGCACAGTTGCTGGTCATGCATATAGAGCTGTCTAATTGATAGGAAATACGCTGAAAACAGATTTTTCCAATCAGGCTGGTTTCAGTGACAGCATGAAGCACTGTGGAAAGGATGATGTGTTGACATGTTTTCTTCAGCTGTGGCATTCCTACTAAATGAATAATTAAGCGTTTTAATGCATTTGTACATGACAATTGATTTAAGTGCGAAATCTATTAAGTTAATTAATTATCCTAACACGACCAGGTAGCTCAGACTATTATTGGATCTGGCCTGTTGAACTATGAACTATGAGACGCGACTCCATGATAGCTATGCCTAGCTTTGACTTTAATTTCGCAATACTGTGTTCCTTTTTTAAAAAGCAATGTTGACTTTAGAACTCACCTTATAGGTTATATGACAGGGTTGCCAATGTATCCATAATTCACTGCTAATAGTAATGCTGCCTCATTCCAATTATTTTAACATTCAAATTGTAGGGAATATTTTTCTTCATGAGTCTTTCCTTTAATTTAAAAAATTATATATTAATAAGCTTTACCAGCCCTCTAATAAAATGATTTCTCCTAAAAATATTCCAAAGTCCGTTCCTTCCCTAGAGTTTTCAAAAAAAAAAAAAAAAATGGAACCCTAATTACCGACACATTTTTGTGAGGGAACTTACCTTTTCGTCCTTTTCAACAAAGTAAGTTAAATAAATAAAGTTAACCCTTGAGGCTTACAATTTGTATTCTATTTTTAAAATCCATTTTATTTAAATGAACTGTATTTTACAATATTCGTGTGTTGTTATTCGTTTTTATTTACTTGTTGACAAATACCAATAAATGTTAGTTGAATAAACAAATACACAAAGAAGCATTCTCTGCACATTAAATTTAAAAATAGCTCTTCCACAAAGAGCAAGAACTATATGTTTTATTTGTAAAAAGTTGAACACTTTTTTGGTAAGTTTTTGAAAGTTTAACTCCATTCCATGTCGAGTTACTTTTCTATAATTTGAAGTGTGTTTTTAAATTATTATTTGAATGGGAAAGAATTGTTATTTAATTTTCGAAATTGATATTCTCTAAGTTTTCAAACGGATCACAGTAATTTTTTAGACGATCTATCCAAAGAGAACGATTTAAAAGCCACCAAAAGGCTAACAAGTTGAAACTTTTTAAACAAATGATGAATAAATAAGTAGTGTAGTGTTTATGTTTAATTTTGTTGTTTCTCTATGCTTGCTAAAAATGTATTTACATTCAAAGAAAAAAAAAATAGTTTTAAATATTTGCCTAAGATTGAACCAACTTTGTGCTAAAAAATGTATGTAGTTTCATTTACTCTTTATTTTCCATAGAAATAACTAGCGTATAATTTGTATAAATTAAAATGTACAAAATTGTACTTCTACGCGTTTTGCGTTAATCATTAATTTTCCATTTTCGACTTCACATTTGAACTTTAACAAAATTTTAACAATTTCTCGCTTTTATGGAACTTTTTCATGTTTGATTTGAGTTTTACTTAAGACTTAAAATGAAAGGCTGACTGACTGCTGGCTCCACGTTCCTCGCATATACATGTGTGTGTGTGTGTGTTGGTGTGTGTGTGTGTGAGAGAGGCTAGTAGTGGTAGTTGTTCTTGTTGTCAGAATGGACGTGAGACTGTGTGTGTGTGTGTGCGTGTAGGGGCGCCGTTAGTTGATCTCAAAACGTTGCGCCTAGAAAAGTTAAAGTTTATATAGACATGTGTTTATGTTTGTGTATGTGTGTGTGTGTTAAATTTAAATTAAATTTTAAACTAGACAACAAATTGAATTTGTTGAGTATTTTGTTTTCAACACTGTTGTTATTGTTATTATAATGAACTTGTTGCTTTTCTTGTTATTTTGTTGTTGTCTTTTCTTTTTTTGGCATGCTTTCTATTCTGCTATACAAAGGTGTTTCTTGAGTGAGATGCCTTGAACTTAAAGGACTTGATAATAGGAGTTGTTTGTTGTTGAAATACCCGGCCATATGTGATATGTTATATTATATATAATTATATATAATATATGCTGATTATTTGGTTTTTCTCTTATGTATCTTTTGCTTTTCCTTCTACTATTTGCTTAGACACAGGCCGTGCCTAAATTACGGAGCGGCGCTTTGGCCTGCGAATGAAAAGAAAAATAAAAATCGTGTGTTAAAATACTAGAAAGTGAGAAAATTGTTGAAAAATAAAAATACATTTATTTTTCCAACTAAAAATTAACTTACTCTTATTAAAAGTAAACAAATTTTAAATTGGTTAATAATTAAAATAGGTTTTTTTTTTTTAAATGAATTTCAAAAAGTTCAATTTGAAAAAAATCCAATTCGAATTAATTGCATTTAATTTTAAACTGAAAATCGAATACAAAGACATAAAGTTCAATTTTTTCCTTTAGTTTAACATTTTCAGAATGAATTATATGTTCTCAGTAATAAAAATTCGATATTTAAAGAAACTTAATTCCTTACTAGGACATAAATATAAAGTACATATAATGAAAATAGTTTGCTCGAATTAAACTAAAGACTTATGAATATAATTAAAAAATATATAGAATAAAGTATTAAGAAACTATTGATTTATTATAACAGCAAATAAAACGATTAACAGAACTAATTAAAATAAAATAAGTAATGTTCCCAACTGAACAAATAATAATAATAAAATGCTTCACAAAATGCAATTTAATGTATTTGTTTTGATTATTTTTAATAAACTAAATCTCAATACGAAATAAAAAAAAAATTGCAAAAAATATTAAAACTCTTTCATGGATTTTGAATTATGAAGTTTTTGAGAGGGCTGTGTTGGCAGTATACTAATTTTTGAATCATTAAGACACTGATTTCTAAAATTGTGCTGTTTGTTTTTTCGTATTAAATCAGTTATATTTCATTTCTAATATGTAGAAATGTATGTTTTGGAAAAGATTTCCAGTTACAATATTATTAAATATTGCACAAGCCTTAAATATATTTTTTGAAAATATGACTGCATGGAATCTAAAATATTTTCAAATGTATGCATTGGAAAACTTAAAGTTTCAATAAAATTTCCAAGACAAAATGTGTTCTATTGTAGTTATTGGAACACAAAAGTGTTTGAAACATTGTGTTAAAAGCTAACCAAAAAATATCTTTCCATTATGCAGTTTTCGTATTCATATTCGACTCTTATCTGACAATTTTGTTGAGCTACGAGTAGAAAAAATCTGCGCATGAATTGCAATTTTATTGCATATTGCACGCATTGTAAATGAATAATTTATATGCGTGTTGTGCCTGATTTTTTGTCGTTGTTTAAAAACAACAAATAACACCCATTTAAATGACACGATTTAATACAAAGCTACTGTTATATCTTGCGGCTTAAAGTCAAAAATATGTACATATTTGTTTGCGCATATTTTGAAAAGCTGTCGTTCAAATTGCAAATTTCAGGCAACGAGCCTGCAAGCAAAAATCCCCTATAATACCATTCTGTTTAATTTAGCATAATTATGTATTTGTTGTGTCGACACAGACAAATACACAGAGATATAGAGATTCTGTACACAATTTATTAATTAAGCGGGGCTAATTAAAAACTGCGGCAGTGGCAACAGCCCCGAATGTGAAAACCCAAAATTAAATTTGTACACAAAACCAATTAATTTTTTTCCCCTTTCAGGTGACAGATTTTAATGTTTCTCAGTTGACGCTATTTAATTGGCCTTTTTAGGTAATTGGCCAGTTGATTTTTTCGCATTTATGCTACTGTTTAGGCTTAGTTGTTTTTAGTCGTGTCGCATTAATCTCCAATTTCTATCGAATGTGGCTTTCGGTTTGTTGCCTGATTTGTGGCCTGACTGTGTTGACCAAATTAGTAATAAATGAATTCATGAAGCAATCAAATGGTAATTAAATTATGCATTAAAAATAATAATGCTAATATGTGTGTGTGTTCCAAATATCCGCATAACTTACCTGTTATTAATGTGCTGGTGCCCCTTTTTTTTGTTTATCGATTTGCATAGCTCGTCGCGTGCAAATTATCAAATAAATAATACACACAACAATTTAGTCATATTGACGCTTGAACGGGCAACATAATAAATGAATGCTCTCAAAATTCGCATATTTACTAAACCTAATTAAAACCTGGCAAAATTGTTGTTACAACCGTCGAGCACTGAATATACACTAGTCGTTACGTGAATAGAACACCCATTAAGTCTAACTGAATTGCTGAAAACTTAAAGTTAATTTAATTGTTACAGTTCATTAAAAGAAGGAACTAATGCTGAAGCTTGAGGTACTCACAGGAAATAATAATTGCAAATAGAGTACACAGGGTGCTCTATTCATGCGTCGAGGACTGTATATACATATGTATAATTATGTATTGTCAGGGCTATAGAAAGTGTTACGTTGTCGTTAATTATATATTGAACTATACAAATACTTGCAACTGGAATGGTTTTAATGCACCAGAAATCATTAGCATTATTTATATGACACAAAAATTGTTAGCAAATCAAATGTAAATTAAATTGTTGTGAAAAAAGGCGAGTAGTTGCCATTGATTATAAGAATTACAAAAAAAAAAAAAAAAAAAAAAAGAAAAAAAATACTAATGCAAATGGCTCTAACCAGTTGGGAATTTGAAGAGCCAAGTAGCTAATTAACATTTTGCTCAGAAGTAGGCAATATTTTTTGAAACAAACTTATTATTTTTTTTTTTCTAAAAAATATGTTGTTTCTTTTAAATTTAAAATAATTTGTAATTTGTTTTATTTAAATTGCTCTATTGGTTAAAAAAAATTGGTTCGAAAAGTCTACCCGTTTGGAGATCTTTAAAGATCGAGTTGGAAGTATGGCCAATGGCCTACAGCGCAAGCTAGATGGAACAATTTTCATAAAATATTTCAGCTTGTAAAGCAGGATGAAGCGCATTTCAACATTTATATTAACACGTATTCAGAAGTAAGCCATTGTTCATCTATTTGAACATTGAACATTTATAAATAATTGGATTGCCTAATCTAAACTATATTTGGCAATTAGCGCTAACTTAATGCTTAGTAAATGAACTAATTTTTTTTTCATATTTTCAATCATTTTAGTTTAATTTACAATGCATTTTGTGTGTGTGTGCGTGCAGCAAAAAACTTAGTTTTTTAATTTACTTTCATTTCGTGAGCTGATTAGTTAGTAATAAATTGTTGATGATTGAAATATTTTTGAAAGAGCGATATTTTTGTGCGAATTTGAAAACTATTTATTTATTAAAAAATGACTTCTTTCCCACGATTAGTGATTTTAAAAATCCATTCTAACTCAGCATTTTTCAATTCGCTTCTTAGGGTATTCTTTCTGAAGAAAGAATTGTGAAAAAATATAATATTGTGAAATGTGGGAGTTTTTGACTTTACTTTCATTTCATTTATTAAAAAATGACTTCTTTCCCACGTTTAGTGATTTTAAAAATCAATTCTAACTCAGCATTTTTTAATTCGTTTCTTAGGATATTCTTTCTGAAGAAAGAACTGTGAAGAAAATATAATATTGTGAAATGTGTGAGTTTTTGAATTTACTTTCATTTCGAGAGCTGATTAGTTTGTTATCAATTTTTGACAGATACGAGTATTGGGTGAAATTGGAAACTATTTATATATTAAAAAATTACTCATTTTCCAAGTTGAGTGATTTTAAAAATCAATTTTAAATCAGGATTTTTAATTCTTTCTGAAAAAATATAAATATTTTAGAAATATATTGAAGAGTTTTTCTTCAAAAAGTAGTTTTTATAATGATTGTTTTTGGTAGCCATATTATTCATAGCATTGGAAAACACATTTGGAAACATAACAAAATATAGGATAGTGGAATATTTTATTACGATTTCGTTACATCGCTCAGTATGTTTGCTGCACACTCATCAAACACACACCCACCCACAAGAATAGACGCACTCGCTCATAGCTGACTCCAAAGCTACGAGATGGTTTGGTGTAGGGTATGCCTTAAACCTATTAAGCACACACACACACACCCGATACATAGAGCTAGCAAGGGGACTTAGCTTAGCATAGTATGTATGTATGTATGTATACGTATGTATTAAATGTAAATATGTACTACTTATCGAGTCTATGTACAACACTAACTTAAAACTTAGCTTAGCTAGAGCTACAGAATTTGGCTAGTGATGTTTTTTTTGGCATCCGAACCGATTTAAAACCGCACATAGCTAAAATCATTTGGATTTGGCGGCACCCCGCTTACCTCTTCCTCCATTGCTGCGGCATACATGTGGGAGCGGGCGTTCTTCTCCAAGCTGAAGTCATCCTCGGTTGTCTTGCGATAGACAGGATTCTCGAAATTCATTGAGTTGCCCGGTTTTGTGCAATGGCGATGGGTGAGGAAAATTATCTGAAAAGCATATAAACTTATAGTGAGGGGGAGTGAGGAGGTAACAAGCTCAGGCTTTTGCTCACCAGCGCTGTTCCCGATATGCTCATCAGCACGGCTATAACAATGATGGCTATCTTGCCCGAGTCGGCTTCCGGCGTCTGTGCTGCAACGGTGCCGCCATTATCGGGATGTGTTGCATTTCCGGTGGGCTGTTTGTCAACTGTGAAGCAATTAAGTAACAGTGTGAGAAATATTCGAAATTGTAGGTGCTGAAAAAATTATGAAGCCATAACCGGAATACGAAAACCCACAGTAACACACAAAACAGGTGAGAAAAAAGCGTAAAATTAAATTAAAATTGTTAGTCAAAGGATGAATGAGAAGAAGAAATTAATGAATAAGTCAAACAGGACTGGCTTCTTGCTTTCGCTACTGCCAGTTTGGAGCCCAAATATAATTACAATATTTCTTTTTTGTTTTCTCCCACTGCCCTCCCCCTCTATCCGACGACATCCCGCCGACAACATTTCCGTCAACTTTTGTGCCACGCTTTTCTCTTGATTTTCATTTTTTTGGTCGTTTTGTTTCGTTTGGGGCGCGGCGCAGGAAGTTGTTGGATTTTTCCGCTGTCAACATAATTCGCTTTCATATTTTCCGCTTAGAATTTGTTCGAAAGTTGTGCGCGGGGTGCAAAGGATGTGCCGCATTTAACGGCATGGCACGACGAGATGTTTAGCGCATTTTTTTGTTGTTATTAATTTTTTCTATCTCGGTCGCTCTATAACTTCCCTGAAGTGGACGGAGGATGCGCGCATGTGGCAGCAGAACAGCAGAAAATTTTTTTCTCGCAAAAATATACAGAACAAAAAAACCAACTAAGAATTATCATTAAAAGTTGGCAGCGGCGACAGCTGCCGCGCATCGATTTTGTAACTGACTGTGGAGTGGGAGCGGGGGGGGGGGAGGGGGCTGGGTTTTGGGGCATAGAGTTCCGGGTGTGCTGACAACATATTTGTGGCATTAACAGACAGTATGCCAAGCAATTGAAAAGTTACACGCATATTGCTACAATTAATTGCATGCCAAGGGCAGCTGGGGATTGGAGTTCGACTGTGAAAGCATGACAAGGCCGACTGAATGCCGGGCAAATGGGGCGGGAAGTAATCAAAAGTTTGGGTCGGTCTAGTTGGGAGGGGGACCAAAGAAATGGTTTTAGTTTGAACAGTCAGTGCTCGACAATTATATTTCGGGGTTGGCTGAACACTATCTGCAACATTGAAAAGCTGCAATGAAGCTAAAAGGGTCTCTAAGACGCTCTGGAACGGAAAGTAGGGTAGGGAGTAGGTTTCAGATAAAAATGTAGATGATGGCTTATTCGTATTGTTGGACTGTGGAAAATTGAAATACTAGAAAAATGACACTGGAAAAGCGAGAATAAATATCTAATATATTGAAAAAAAGAGACAAACTCTAAGGGACACACCTAAAGTCTTTCAACCTTGATGCAGAGACTGAAAAGTCCTCCCAAGCACTCCCGCCTAATAGTCGGTGTTGCCAGAAAGGAAAATCATGTTGAATTATCCTTATAGCATATGGCTTATATGGCTAGTAGCTATAATACAAATGCTTGTGGGGGGAGGTGGGGCAAGATGATTTGGTGGCACTGACAAAACGCTTATGGGGGGAGGTGGGGCAAGATGATTTGGTGGCACTGACAAAACGGCAACAGCAGATAGCTTAAGCGTAATGGCATCGGCAAACATTCGCTGTTATTGGAGCGTGCCAATGCGAGCGACACTGTCTGGCATGTTTTATGAGTCGCAGCTATAAATGTCATATATTACAAACCCCAACTCTGGCACCGCACCCCCCACACCCTGCACACTACACGAAATGCAATTTGCCTGTCACATACTATACACATAGTCCATATATTCAGAACGCACCGAAAACGAAGGGACCGAATGAGAGAGAGAGAGAGACAACAACAAGTAATACCCATTTTTCTAATCCCCACATGTGTTTTATGTTTTTTAAACGGCCCGTAGAGCCGAAACAGACAGTGACACAGGTGTGCGCCATGCGGCCAAAAAAAAAGGAGAAGGAAAACAACAACAAAGAAATCAACAGAAAGCATAAAAAAGACGCGCCTGCCATAAAAAATGCGACAAAATGGCGCACGACTATGAGGCATGCCCCCACCTGTCCCCCAGCCTACAACTTGTCTCGTTTTTCGCACGTTTTACTGTCGAAGGTTGCGCTTTTTTTCCACAGCGAGCAGCGCTCGGGGGTGTCAACATTTGCAAATGAAATAAAAACGCATAAAATGTGCGCCGATGAGGACTTCACCTTGCTGCCAAACATTTTTTCCTACGCAGATTAGATAAACAAAGTTAAAAACTTTGCAACGGAAATAAAAATGAAATCGTGCGACTCTGTGACTTTGTCAAAAAAAAAAATGGCGAACGAAAAAGGAAAACAAAATGGCGGCTTTGCTGCTGTTATTTTGAACTTATCTTTTGTGTGGCAACGACAATATGTAGTAAAAAATCCTCAAATCGTAAGAAAAACAATGGAATCTGTTGGCCAACTGCTGGCCAATGGGAATGCACGAGGTCGGTTTTATAAGTGGCGCTAACGAATTTATATTTAAAACTTAGAAGGTCTCTTGCCAGGCGCCTCTGGGCAGCTCGCCCGCCTAATTATTAACTAACCCAAATATATAATGTATTGTAAACTTGTGATACTTTGGTCTCCTATATGTATGTTTAATGTAATGTTATGGCCTAAATCTGCAGGCCGAGTTTAATAAAATATTAGAAAAAAAGAAGCTCTATGAAAATATAGACTGCTGCCAATGCTACCTTGAAATGCCATCAAAAAAAGATGTCTAGGAAGAAGATGAAAAGAATAACTTTCCTCCAAGAAAAAATGAGAAAAATGCAGGACCTTTGCTTTGAAACATGGAATCAAATCAGATACTTAGTAATAATACTATAGGAAAAAACATATTTAATTTAACAATCGATATTAAATGAAATAACCAAACCATGTCACTGGTCCCTGTTGTCTTCTTTTTCTTGTGATACTTATCAACATAATTAGACTAGATTTAATATAATTTTAAAATATAATGTAAAGTTTCCACAAGCATGTAAAAGTGTCTCTCTGGAAAGAATTGTTCGACGAGCGAAGAAGTTCCAAAATGCCGATAGAAAGAATGTGCCTGGGCAGCTACAGAAGAGTACTTGTATGTTGAAGATGAAAATAAACGACTCCAATGCATTCTACTTTCAAATTCTTCCTTCCTTTCCAAATTCTTATTGAACCAACCCACGAAATAATACAATTGCTCAGACAACTAGAGGAGAGTGTGTTGAAGATGAAAATAATCGGATCCAATGCCTTCTATTGTTTAAATTCTTGCTTGGACAACTACAGAAGAGTATGCAGAAGATGAAAAGAAACGGGTCCAATGCATTCTACTTTAAAATTCTTCCTACCTTTTTAAATTCTTATTGAACCAACTCGGGTAATAATAAACTTGCTTGGACAACTACAGAAGAGTGTGTTGAAGATGAAAATAAATGGATTCTATTTTCAAATTCTTCCTTCCTTTCCAAATTCTTATTGAACCAACCCACGAAATAATAAAATTGCTCAGACAACTAGTGGAGAGTATGTTGAAGATAAAAATATTGTTTAAATTCTTGCTTGGACAACTACAGAAGAGTATGTAGAAGAAACGGGTCCAATGCATTCTACTTTCAAATTCTTCCTTCCTTTTCAAATTCTTATTGAACCAACCCGCGAATTAATAAACTTGCTTGGACAACTACAGAAGAGTGTGTTGAAGATGAAAATAAATGGATTCTATTTTCAAATTCTTCCTTCCTTTCCAAATTCTTATTGAACCAACCCACGAAATAATAAAATTGCTCAGACAACTAATGGAGAGTATGTTGAAGATAAAAATAAACGGATCCAATGCATCCTATTGTTTAAATTCTTGCTTGGACAACTACAGAAGAGTATGCAGAAGATGAAAAGAAACGGGTCCAATGCATTCTACTTTCAAATTCTTCCCTCCTTTTCAAATTCTTATTGAACCAACCCGCGAATTAATAAACTTGCTTGGAAAACTACAGAATAGTGTGTTGAAGATGAAAACAAATGGAAATAATGCATTCTATTTTTTAAATCAAATTCTTCCCTCCTTTTCAAATTCTTATTGGACCAACCCACGTAATAATAAACTTGCGGCCAGGTGGCCACTTTATAGACTGGCTATAAAAAAGGCAGTCGTTACTTCGACGGCTTAAGCTTTATGGTTCCAAATGACTGTTCATTTGTAGCCGCTGCCAGTATTTGCAGTTATGCATTTGTCCCTCCCCCAGCCCCTTCTCTGCCAGCAACCACTGTGTATATTTGCAGAACTTTGCCTTCGCTTAATTAAGCAATTTGAAGTGGCGAAGGCAGACTCCTCCCTGCAGGGAGAAAGTGAGCGAGAGAGAGGGACGGAGAAAGGGAGAGAGATCGCAAGCAAAGCAAAATGAAACCGCTAATTGAAATTGCAGTTATGGCAAATGGGCACGACTATCGTCCTTGCCGCACTGGGTCATCTAATTGAAATAGTCCTTAACTAGTTTATAGTTATTTGCTTGCCCCCCTCCCCCCATCGCTCCGCCCCTCCCCACTATGCAAACTTTTCCTAAGTACCAAACAGTTGCTCGTCGTTGTCGTCATCAGCAGGCCATGAAGCTTAATGGAAAATTTCTTACAAATTTTCTTACAAATGTATTGCAGTTTCTATTCCTGGCGGCTTACGATTCTCTTCTTTTTTTTTAAATATTTGAGCCGCTTAGCGTCTCTTTTTTCTCTAACTTTTTTTAAATTGTTGTAATTAGACGCAATTGTGCGGGTTCAGGGCTAAGCTTCAAGATAATTTGCCAGAAATTTTTTCAAGAGGGTCTCAAGTTATTAGCAAAACTTTTTAGCAAAAAAATTGTTCGTATTTACTTGATTTTAATGAGAGTCGCCATTAGCATGGAAAAAGCTAACTAAGTAACTAGAGACAGGTATAAAGATACAAGTATTTATAATATAAATTGGCCGTTGGCACTCTAATAAATACACACATAAAAATAAGAAGCTACAGTGGGTTATAAGCAATGAACATAAAGCGAAATACAGCTAAAAGAAAACAATTCACAACTTTTTAGTAATTTGAAAATAATATTAATGGCAGATATATTTGTATTATACTATAATAAATTTAGAATTCTGTATTGAATAAATTAAGAAAGAAATATTTAAGAGAAATCATCAAATATTTAAGTTGTCGTGAAAATGGTTTTGAAGAATATATAATATAATATAATAAATATTAGGTAAGTGTTGTAGAAAGTTCTAAATTGTGGATTTTTATATTAATTTAAAAATATCGATATCGATTAATTCTTAGACATAAATATATGTTGCCGATAACGATTGTTTTAAAATGACGTACTAATGTAATAATTTAATACGAAAAATAGCAACAGCATCGATGAATAAATGTTTGTCAAATCAATATCGACAAATATATATTGGATAATATCGGTTGACAAACATAACACACACACACCAAAATATCAAGAGCCGTACAAAAATGTAATAAAATCGATCATTGGTAGAAAATAAAATTATGGAAAAATTTAAAAATAAACAAGAGAGAACGCTACAGTCGAGCAAGCACGACAGTGTAATACCCTGTACCCAGGTAAACTTCCGTCACTGCGTTATATGCGCCCAAAACAGCAGCAAAAAGAGGAAGAAGAAGAGCGAACTTTTTGCTGCAGTTTGGGGGGGGTTGTACTGGCGAGAATTTGTTTCGCTAATAACTTTTCTTAGAATGGACAGAATTGAATAAAATCTTAAACAAAAGTAGATAATTATTTATAAATTATGTGTGTTTTGTTTTGTTTAGGTAGCATTTGAAATGTGGACGCTATTGACGAAATTCTGTAGCGGAAGGGGGGTAAAATTAAAAAAAAAAAATAAACTCGTCCTTACTCGGACCTAGGAGAATCTGGATGCCAACTTGGTTATTCTAGCTTTTATAGTTTCTGAGATCCTTGCGTTCATCCAGACGGACAGACGGACGGACAGACGGACAGACGGACGGACGGACGGACAGACGGACGGACAGACGGACGGACATGTCTAGATCGATTTCTCTCGTCATGCTGATCAAGAATATATATACTTTATGGGGTCGGAGATGCTTCCTTCTGTATGTTACATACTTTGCACAAACCTAATATACCCTTTTTACCCTACGGGTACAGGGTATAAAAATATCTGCACTGCGATATTATATCAACAAACGTAGTTTTAAAAGAAAACATTGAAGAAAAATTTTATAAAAGCACATGAAAATGTTGAAATATTGAAAATCAGAAAAAATATTAAGAATTATTATTCGTGTTCAGTTATTATGACTATCGACTCGAATAGTTTTTATGATTTTCTTTTTATTAAATTAACTAACAAATCAGAACCAATGTGCACGCACAGTTTGACATCAATACCTACTCGTAAGTATAGTATGTATGTGAGAAGTCTGAGCTATTGGGTTTTTGTTCCCCTCTTTAGAAATGTTTTTAATATGCTCGCTTTCTTTAGCATTCCCGGACTCGTTGTTAGGGAAATGCAAAAAGCTCTAATTTCAATTGATCAAAGTGTACTTTTAAACGCATGAAGGAGGATGCTTGGAGCGTGTGTTTATTAAAAATAATGACATGGCAACTTATCGTTGATTGACTGACTGGCAGACTAAGAGTCGTGCACAAACGTGGGGGGATGGGGGGAGTATATCAAGTGCTTACTGTTCTAATTATATGGATGTTAGAACATAAATAGCATATATGAGAGACGACGACAATAACCACAAACAAACAAACACACATTTTCTATCGATGGAAAAAAAATGTACACTCAGAAAATTAAACTTCTTTGATGTTCGAAAATCGCACTTAAATTTTGAGCAAAAAGAAGATAGATATTTCCTGATTTGAAGAAATACTTTGCTATTTTCATTTAATCTTAGGAATATATTCAACAAATGTGGGCTTGTTTTTAAACGACTTCAAAAAGCAGGAGGTTCTCAATTAAAAAGTATTCTTTTTTTTCAAAAGTGAAACTTCTTTTTTGTAGAAAATATGTTTCTATTTTAACAAATATATGATTCATTTAATTTCACATTTAAAGAAAAAAGTTTCCCTAAATGAAATCTGCGTAATTTGAAAAACTGATTTTATAAAATATTTTTCCAATTTAATTTAATTAAAAAACAAAATGGCACTTCTTTGTAGAAAATATTTGCTGATTTTAACAAATATGTTTATTCATTTAAAATTTAAAAAAAAGTTTTCGAGCGTGAAATGCGCGTTATATGAAAAATAGGAAATATCAAAATATTCTTCTAATTGAATTTAATTGAAATAAAACAAAATATTCCCCACCAGTGGGCCTAATTGTCTTTTTGCATTTTAAGAGCTATTGTCTAAATTGAAGTGCGATTTCGGCCAACTTATTTTGCTGAGTGTATGGCAGGGCTCTGTGCATATTTGTGGGACGCCCCAAACCTGTTACATGGCACCCATGGTGGTCGTATTTCATTTTGCGACACAACCAATGTAAATATTTTGGTTTTAGGCCCACTGCCTGGCGATATGCAGATGCAGGAGCTGCTGACAGCGCCAAATTAGCGGCCAACTTGGGCGATAGCTCTGCCGATGTCAGCAGCAGGAGCTGCTCCTGAATAGAGCCGGGCAATGTGTATGATGATGGTGATGGTGATGGCGATGGCGATGGCGATGGGGCTGCTGATGCTGATGATGAATTTCTGGTTAAACTATTTGATGTGTTGCTACTGTAGTTGTCGTCGTTGCTGTTGTTGCTGTTGTTGCTGTTGTTGTTGTTGGTATAGTGTTGGTTGTCGCTGTCGCTTGTGTACAATTTAATTTCGTGGCGATTTGTTGACTGATATGTTGCTGTCAGCCGTTCATCATCGTCGTTGCTTTGCTGACAGAGTTGCGTGCAAATTGCATGCAGAAATTCGCCCGGATAAGTGTCGTAGGGTTGTCGCTTAAGCTCACTAACACCCAACAGGGTGGCGGGGGTGGAGACGTCAGACGTTGTTGCGGCTTCGTTGCTGCCGCTATCAGATCCGTTGCTGCCATTGTTGCCATTAAACACGTCAGCATTGCTTCCTTTTTGTGGTCCCGATATTTATATATGTATGTATATTTCACACATTTCCAGCACCCCAGTCCCACAACATGGTTGTGTATTGAGTACGTGTGTGTTTGTGTGTGTGTGTGTGCATTTTGAGTGATTATGTCGATATCATTGATGTTGATTTATGATGATGACAAGTTCGGTGCACGAGAAATTGGCGTGAAAAATGGCAGACAAAATTAAAATCAAGCGCATTTGAGGTGAAACGGCATTTACATATCGCACGTGAATAAACATATACACGTACTACCAGTATGTATGCCTTCACATATAAACATATATAGACGAGTAGGTGACTGAGTATAATTTGTGGACGTAACACTTGACATGTAGATGTGAGTGAGCACGAGCAGGCTGATGAGGAAGCATTTGTAAAAGAGTGCAAAAGTATGGAAGTGAAGGAAAAATAACAGAGTATGAATTGTTGGTGCACCCGAGGCGAATGATAAAACAACATAAAGTAACAGAGAAGAGGAGAGGAGAGTTGTGGAAGCCACACAAATCGACATAAAAAGCTGAGGTATGGAGGTAATTTGTTTCCTTAATGTAACTTTTTAAATGGATTTCAGGTATGGGTAAAGCAACAACACCTGGTCATAGGCAGATAAAACAATTTAAAATAAGTAAAGCATTAGAAAAGTTTAGCTGCACTCGAGACCTGCACGAATTATTTTGAAATATACTTCTGCATTGTTATAATCTATTCAGGCTCATATTTGTATTTTGTTGTTTAATTATGATTGTCTGTAAAATGTTATTGAATTCATTACTATTATCATTCCATTTTCCATATAATTATAATATTATATATAATTCTGCATTGAGATGTTAACTTTTCGACTACAAAAAGTGCCGTTTTTTCAATACTTAAGATACTTAGCGATTAATAGTTTTTATTATCCTTTTGATACTTAGCTCGAATGATCGTTATATTCTTTCCTAAAATAAAGCCGATGCTATATAACTTTGTTTCTATTTATTCATTTGGTTCTGTTTAAAATAATATTTTAATTAAAATGTTGCATCAATTAAATAGCAAATGAATTAAAAAATGAATCATAAATTGATTCATTCACATGACATTAATTTAATCGTTAATTTAATTGAGAAGTGCGCGAATCATTCAATGTTTTACTCACCAAAATAAAGATGTTTTAAAGGAATATCAATAATGCAGTAAAGTAATAATATATAAGGAATTTTAATTACAAACATTGAATGAAGATCATAATTTTCTTGCAATAATCAAAGAAAATTTAAATAATCTCTTTAGTCTTCTCATCACTATCTTGCCCTTACATGGAACGATTACATTTAACTTTTTTACAGCTCTATACTTTACTTTCTCTCAACTGCATCGAGAATTTATACTATAATTTATTTATCTTTTCTTTTGAGAAATTTTAATGATTCTTCTTTATTAGAAAGTTATTTTTAATTGTTTGCGGTTTTAAAACTAATTCGTGCAGGCCTCTACTACGCAGATCTGCTATAAAATAATGCAATAATTGAGTCTTTTTATTTAGATTTAGTTTATGACAGAAATATGCAAATATCTTCAAAGGATTGCCTCCAATCAGTCCACAATTGTTGCACATTTTTATGTTTAAATGTTAAAACCTTTAAATTGTTGCTTTGACCACGCTTGAGAAACATAAATAAACGAATATACATATGCACATAAAAGGCCCATCACCAATGAAGCAGAACACGAAAAAAGTGTACACCAGAAAATAAATATATATTAAGGTTTCATACCGACGATGTGCGCTTCAGTGGACGCATCTTGAGGTAGTCTCGGGGAGGCGTTCGTGGAATTGACGCGTGGAGACCGCAAAATGGGACGTGTGGTGACTGTGCACACACACAAACACAATAAATTTGGTTGAAAATGAAATTAAAAAAAAAAAAACAAAATACGCAAAAACAAAATTTAATAAACTGAAAACAACAAACAAAAGGAATTTATATGGCCTTTATGGGCTTTAATGGGCGTCAAGTGCAGCGGCGAAAGCGGCGGCGGCGATGGCAACCACAACCACAACATGGGCGATGGTCGTGAATGAAATCACACAATGCGCTTTAAAGCCCGCACCAAAAAACCAACAAAAAAAAGTCGGAAAACAATGACAACAAAGCTACTTACGATCCTCGACACACATGAGGCCGTCGGCCATGAGTTTGAGGCCGGTGGGGCAGGCGCAGGAGATGCGCGGACTTCGCTCGTTGATGCGCGGGGCCGGCAGACACAAATGCGAACAATGTCCATTCACCGATTGGCAGTGATTGATGCCGTCGGGCTGGCGATAGGGATGATATACGTGTATAACCATAGGGTGTTGTAGCTGCGAATGGGAAGGGTATATGGCATGAGTTGGCATGTCGCTGAAGGAGCTTTCAAATTAATCTTACCATGTGCATGGCAGTAATTGATTCCACACCTTCGCCCGTAAATTTGTTTGCCTTGAACACAGTCTGCTTGTCCCAGTCGCTCCAATAGATATAATCCTCGAAGGTGGTAATGGAGAAGGGATGTCGCAGATATTCCGTCGAATACAGAATCTGACGACGCTGTGAGCCATCATAGTTGGCCGATGATATAATATTCAGTTTCCCATCCACCCAATAGATGCGCTTTCGCACCAAATCCAAGGTAATGCCATTGGGCCACTTCACATCGTAGTTGATGATGGTGGTTCGATGCGAGCCATCCATGCCGGCGCGCTCGATGCGTGGCGAGGCGCCCCAATCGGACCAATACATCCAGCCCTCAATGGGGTCCAGAGCAATGGAGCGAGGTATGTCCAGTTCGTCCTCAATGAGCACCTTTCCCATGTTGCCATCGAAGTTGGTCAGCTCGATGGTGCATTTGTGTGTGTCCGTAAAGTAGACGTGGTTGTAGATCCAATCCACTGCCAGACCATCGGAGGTAACTGAAGATTTCTTCAGCACCACAGTCTTCTCGTTGCCCTCGTCGATGGGCGCCTTATATATGCTCTGTGTGGTGACATCGCTCCAGAAGATCATGCCGGTGCGGAAAACGAAGTCCAATGCCGTCGCCGACTTCGTGCTATTCACTATAGACGTCATCTCCATGTGGTCCAGCGCTATCTTGCGTATATCATGACGTCTGGCGAGGAGCAGGGAGGCGTGTCCTTCGGTGGCTTTGCAGCGAGTGTGGTTGCGCGGATCTCGCATATAGCCTGCTTCGCATTCGCACTTGAATCCGCCCACCTCGTTCACACAGAGTTGAGAGCACACTCCGGGCTGTTCGCATTCGTTCACATCCACACAAGTGTGACTATCGGCGGCCAATCGATAACCGTTTTTGCATTCACAGCGATAACCGACTGGCTGATCCACACAACGATGCATGCAGCCGCCATTTTTGGTGGAGCACTCATTGATGCCACACTTGCCCGCCGGCTCGTCCTCGCCATCGGGGCAGTCCTTGCGTTTGTCGCACACCTTCGAGAGCGGAATGCACTGACCACCGCCGCAGTCGAACTGGGTGGTGGCATTACACGTGGCCACCTCGGCGGCAAACATGCAACGCCTCTCATCGCTGCCATCCGCACAATCCTCTTCGCCATTGCAGGTCAAATGTCCGGCAATGCAGCTGCTGTCGCCGCACTGGAACTGATCGGGACGACACGTTATATTCTTGCAATGCATGGGCAGCTCATCGTCGGCATCGGGGCAGTCGGCCTCGCCATCGCAAAGCCAGGTCCAATGCAGACATGTGATGCGATCCTTGCACTGGAACTCGTGCGGCAGGCAGGGTGGCGTTGTTTTTGGCAACTCCTCGCAACTCTGCGTAAATAAAACAAAAATAGAATACAAAATATATGTTAATTTAGAGAATACTTAAGGGCTCTCAACTTAATAGAGTGGCTGCCAAGAATCCTTCGGATTAGTTCTTCTTAGGCTTTTCTACCTTGTAAAATTCATTTTATAATTTGTATATATTATGTTTGTTCACATAAATAAATAAATAAAAAGTTGTTTGAAAACTAAAAAGCTATTGAACTGGTTTAAAATTTGGGGAGCTCTGTTAACGCAAAGAACCTAAGATCTTCACTGTCTCATACGACTACAATGCTGCACTATAGCTTTATTTAATTGAGCTTCAAAGCAGGGACTCTAATCATTATGTGTTATTTAAAAATTATCAATTTCAAAAGAGTTGAATTGTAAAGTATAACACAAAATTTATCATTATGTTGTGAGAGAATAAAAAAAAAATTTAAAATTTTTAATTTTTTTGTTGAAAATTACGTTTTAAGTGAATTGGGCTCTGGTTTTGGCCATTACAGCCGTAATTCATTTACTTGTAACCAAATTTTTTTAAAGAATGCCCAAAACTGTACTATAGGTTTGTCTTGGCTCATTGTTTAGGCATATAAATAAATTTAATCCTTATTCCCTATGAAAAAGGCAAAATTACAACTTGTTCAAACAACTTTGAAGTAGAAAAATTATTTTTTTATTTTTTTTTTTTTTGCTGAAAAATAATAAATATTGGTTGGCTTTTAAGGTATAACTAAAAAATAATCATTATATTGTGGGAGAACGAATAAAAATTATAATTTATAAATCATGGTGAATATGCATAAATAATTCTAAAAGAAGGATATACGTATAATTCTCGTTTTTTGAATGATTTTCTCTCTTAAAGAAAAAAAAAAATTTATTATTTATAGTCCCTGCTTCAAAGATGATGTTTCTATAACCACGAGTATCTAATTCTGTTCAAGCTCTAGTTATTTGTGTGTAACATAAAATAAATTGGCTAAAAGGTTAAACAAAATGCTAATCTCCATGGGCAAGCCTAAGTTTTGTTAACGAGCTAATTTGTTTGCAAGCCGCAGCAATTCTCTGGTTGGCACATCTGGAATATAGGATTTGCGTAAAAAAGTGAACAAAGCGTCTACCTCTCAGCATGAAATGGTGACTAATAAAATTTATTTAAGTTATCCACAATTCCCCTAGCAACCAATTCAGCTATAAGTATTTATAGTGTATTTTTCAAATTCCACTCAAATGAGAGAACGAATTGATGAATAGAGGCGCTTTGTCTGCATTGTCCTTATTCCGCTTAAGCGTTATCTACTGTATATAAAGGAGAGCATCTTTAGTCAATGAAATTGCCTGTCTGCGCACAACTTTATTTAAAATGCAACTCATGGACGTTGTCAAAAAGGAAGCCTGGCAAGGAAGTTTGCTATAAAAGTGCCACGGAGCACAAATACAACAACAAGCACAACAACAATAGCAACAACAACTGCTACGAGTACTTGGCTTGTTGTTAAGTGGCAGCAAATATGCATAGCAGCTCAGCTCAGCTCACACATACACACATATATACACACACACATATACACACACATATATACACACACAGCTGCACATTGCCGGCTGGCCATCAGAGCTTCAACATTTTTGTTGCATACTTTTTTGGGCGCTGCCTGAAAATTTTGCGCATTTTTTGTCTGTCTCTATGCCTTGGTCTGTGTGTGTGTGTGTTGGTGTGTGTGTGTGTGTTGCTTAGCTCAGTGCCAGGCGCTATGCAATTTCAAGCGTTGCTGGCTGACAACAAAAGCTGCTTCGGCATGCTGCACATAAATGTTTATATAGAACAGTAGTTGTTGTTGTTGTTGCTGCTGCTTCAACTCGTCGCCGTCGCCGGCAGTTTTGAATAATGCGCGCATCTTGCATAATTTATGCGCGATGTGTTGCCCACCAGCCACTTGCTTATATCTACATTTCATTTTCTTTTATGCGCTCCAATATATATTTCTATATTTCTGTTTATACGTAAATATTCGAATATGGCGGACGAAATAGAAAATGCAAACGAAAATCATATCGACTAAGTTTTTCATTTCTTTTGGCTTAAAATAAAGATAATCGTTCCCTTAAGTCTCATTCACTACAACTATTGCCAATTCTATGTGTGCTTAGTCTTTCACTGAATAGTGCAATAAGAGCAAATTAAATAAATGCATATATTACTCTATTTATATTATATACGAGTATATCTTTAAAAACAACTACCGCATAGAGATAAGACACAATGCTCGGCTAAGTTGAAAAAAAAATTACTTAAATTATGATTGTAATCATTTAATTACAAATAAAAACTGAGACAAACAGAAGTTAAAAGAAATTATTTAACAGCTCTAAATGAAAAGCTTGTTAAAGCTTCGATAATTGTAAGTAAGTTGTATGCCTAGAAACAAAAATATTTCAAATATTTTGATTTTTAAATAAATAAAAAATATTAAAAAATAAAAACAAAACTGTAATTTATAAATCGATTGTTTTAAGCTCTTCCTAGACATTATTATTGTGAATATATGATGTTAACACTTATATAGGAGTGCTACACTAAACTCTAGATGATCTTTAGTTGTTTTTAAAATCACTCGAAAAATTAGTAGGTGCTACATAACTTCGAAAGATTTCATTTTTCGAATAATAGTTGCTTAATTTCTAATTTTTTTTTTTTTCAAGTTTTATTTATTTATTGAATCTTCTCTCACGGAGACATACGATAAGTTATCAAATCTTAATATAGTTATAGTTCTTTAATTAATTACAATTAAATATTTGAATTATGGCCCTAACTGTTATTGCTGGGTTGGGAGGTCTCTTCACAGGAGTCGTGTATTTTTAATTCAATTATTTTTTTATTAATAGAGAGCTACAATTACTGAGAGGTATTTAGAAATGATCGCATTATTAGAATGCAATTTTGGCATTTTATAAATTTTGGCTTGCAGTTGAGATTCAAGATTTTTTGGGGTGGAAATATAATTGATATGACTTACGCGCTCATCGCTGCCATCGGAACAATCCGGATCGCCGTCGCAGACCCAACGCTTGGGGATGCAAGCGCCAGTGGCGCATGTGAAGGAACTAAGTGGGGGGCACTCCCGGGTGGGGCAGCCCTCCTCGTCGCTGCCATCGCCGCAGTCGTGGTCGTGATCGCACACCCAACGCTTCTGTATGCAACGGCCATTGCCGCAGGTGAACTCATCTGAACGGCAGGTGTCGTCTACACGATTGGCAAGCAAAAGTTAATTATATTAGCAATGTGAAGAAGGATTGTTTTTTTTTAGTTTTGGGAGGATTTGCGTGCATTTAAGTTGAATGTGGTGCGAGGATGAGAGCTTTACTTAGTACAAATGAAAATGTTGTTTAAAGTATGCCATAAAGCAGCGACAAGGCCACTTCTCAGCTGTTTTATAAATAAAGCCATGAAACCAAAAGTATGTGAAACATAACTCAGTTGAAAACCAACACTGACAACAACACTAACACTAAGACCAACACCGTAATAAAAATTGCCAGCAAACAAACAGAAACTGAAATACAAAAAGAAGCATATATGGGAGGTGGCATGGGAGAGAGATTTGATGTTGAGCTGCAATAAAGAAGACCAGCACCAACAACAACAATGCCATAAAACATGTTACGAGCACCAGTGTGTAGTGTTTGCTAAGCTACAGAACAAAAAAATTGTTGTGCTGTAAATATTTGTGCATTGTGTACAGGTAAGACAAGTATGCATAGAAATATAAAACATAGTTCTGTAGCAGAGACATAGAAAGGTAAAAGAATGAAAAAAGAAGATAAGCATCCGACACCAAATGTTGCAAGTACAAGTGCGATGCAAGATAAGAGTATAATTTTTATGTTCATGTCTTACTGCAGGCGGCCTCATCGGAGCCATCGGAGCAGTCTTTGCTCTGATCGCACATCCACGCTAAAGGTACACACTTAACCTCGCCGGACTTGCAGACGAAAGAATCCGGCGAGCAGGTTTGACTTCCTGTAAAAAAATAAATAAAATTGTTTTTGGAGAAATATGATATGCTGGTCAGATAATTGGTTGAAGGTCACTCTTTGCTCTTCATAAAAAATTTTATATCAGCGTTGGATAAGAATTCCAAAAAAAGGGTGACACTTTCTTAAGAATTCCTAAATACAATGTTTGTTTGGTAAAATCTTATTATTTGTAACAGAAGCGCACGTATGTATTCTAATTAAACTTCAGAATACAATGAGAATCCATAAAAACCTTAATTTGCTTACATTTGTTTAAGAAACGAGCGCATATTTTGGTCAAACGCGCTTTTTATCATCATCCATCATTAATTATATTCGGACATTTAAAAAAATTGATAACTTTCAAATATAGTTACAATCTCATCCTAAATAAAAAGTAGTTGGTTAGAGTACTGTAGCTGTTTTTTTAAACAATAGTTCCCATGGCAGCGATGTAACGAAATATATTGATGCTATATATGATTCGTGATAGACTTAATCTTTACAAAGATAGCATAGCTCTACATATTAAGTTTAAAGTCCGTAGCAGTTATGGTTTAATAGTTCTAGATGTTCATACATTCGAACAGAGCGGCAAATGAAGGGCACTTCAGAATATAGCGAAGCATTGTCAGAATATCAAATTGGGCTGCGATATGCTAAAACCTTTTTCTGGTGGTTATGGTAGTGCAGTGATATAGTGCAACGATTTGATAAAAGTGATATTTATATATTAAACTCTATTTGCAAATCATTAGAACGCGTCCATGTGCCATGTTTAGGTAGCTCTAGCTGCTGTGGTCTACAAGATATAGACGTTCATACAGTAAAACATTCGGACAAATGAACGGATAAGCCGGCTGCCATCGACACAAGCTGTTTCTTTAATTTGTGTTCTGCCACGCCTACTTCTACACAATATTTTTCATCCCAACTAAATTATTTAAATTCATAAAAATGCACAATAGACTGGGCTTTAAATTCGTTCACTTAACCACATATTTGGCATAAATAATAATAATACAATTTTCTGTCAATATTTAAACAGTTAAGGCGCTGTAAAGTATGCAACACATTAGGTTTAATGCGCTTTGTGTTTGTGCGCCCATGAAAGCTTTTTCGGTTGTGTATGTATATAGCTCTGTAATTAAGTTTATAAGCAACAGCAGCAGTCAAAATGCGCCACATGCCATGCATGTAATAAACATAGTTCTTACACACAAACATACACAAATAATCATACACACATACACACACCATGCCCGGCTGAGCAACGCCATTTTATCTAGGCAGTAATTAAGACATTATCAGCCAACACTCCATAAAGTTAAAACGCACACATGCGTATGCACATACCAACATCCACACCCATACTACTTACATTCGAACATACACGCACATTAAAGCAATTATCGCACATATACTCACGCATACAAACAAACCAACACCCCTGCACTTGCCGAGGATTGGTTAGCAGCAGCGTCTTGTGCCTAAAACTTTCATTGAAGTTGGCGCAGCAGGGTGCTTCAAGTGCCACAAAACACAGCCGGCTCGGGCATTAAAGTAAGCTGAAACCTCCAACACACACAAACACACACGCACACATACACAGGCAATCACATATACATATGTATAGAAGTACAGCAACGCTTGTGTCTAACCCTTAATGCCTATTAGTATGCTGCCTTTTTTTCTCTGTCGCTGAATGTCCTCTTTTTATGTGCCAGCAAATAGCAAATGAAATGGAGCGTATATATTTCGATATCAGCTTGGCGGCACTACTAAAGAAAAGGAGAAACAATTGAAAAGACAATTGTATTTGATGAAAATCAGTTCCCCTATTATTATAAATATTAATGGTAGACTCTACAATTCTAACAAAAAAGTAAGGATAAGGCACTGCGACCCTGTTTTTTCTATTGTGCCCAGCTACATAATCACTGAGCTATTATTTGTTTCTAGAAAAATCAGCAACAGATCGAAAAGAGCCAGCTGCAAAGTTGTTGAGTTATTTTACTTGCAAATAAACATGTTTAAGGCTGAAGTTATTGTATTCATTCCCCACAGAGTCGCCTCATCTCTACATGAATTCGTTTATTAGATCTTACTCTTTTGCGCTCCGGTACTTAACAGACAAAACCTCTCAGATAAAAATGACAAATTAATAATTTCAAAGATCGCCCTGCAGAATTGTACAAAGTAGTTTCTAGGATTAATTTTCAATCTGTCGATGGCTTTCTGATGAAATTAGGAATGAAAATTGATTATATACCTTAATGAAAGTATGTTGGCGTTTTCCACTGCTTGCTTGTTCTTTTCTAAAATTTGTTAATAATAATTGAAACTCTTCAAGGACGCTTCCGCTGGCTAAGAAATGTATGTTTATCACAAATGTATCTTCTGTATTCTAAAAAGATTATAATACACTATCCCAGTCTTTTTTAAACCACATAGAAAAGGACCTATGTAGAAGTGCACAAAGTTGATGACGTCCTCAATGAGCAGGCTGCTCAATACATGGCACAGAAAGGGAAAAAAGCTAAAGAAGTCACATCCTGTTGACCGTGTCAATAGATTTACATAAATTATGAATATTATTTAAAATTTAAATACGACTAAATTTCTAGTTGTTGTTTTAATTAAATTATTGTAAATAGTAAAAATAATTTTTAAAAAAGTCTTTTTTAAACGCGTTGAATTGATTTTAGAAGCACTCATATAATAAATAAATAAAATGAAGCCAGGGGCTGTTAGGGGATACCATAAAATATTCGACAATGTCTTATTAATACTTTATTTTAAGCAATTCCTGCACTTTATAGCATTTTTACAGTAAGTAGGGCCTTACTTCGGATACAGCCTCTTTCTCTTAAAACCCATGTTACCATTCTACTTGTATGTCTCTTATTTCATAAGTGATACTAGATAAGTTTTTTCATTACTTTTTACATTTAAATATTACGTTCTAACACATACTTGTACATCTAATTCTGTTTCTACACGGACTTTTTTTTACACGGGTTGGATTTAACACGGTTTGAAAATTAAAATTTGCATATATTTTTTTTATTTAGAGATAAGGAACCAATCACTTATTCTGCATATGATCAATGTTTTTTTTTACACGGTTGTTTCTGGAACCAAGCTACCGTGTACAAACAGAAATAGGTGTATTACACTAATTTTATTATACATCTACAAAATCAGCCTGATAGAGTATTGTGCCGCTTAAGGCTTCAAAGAGCATGCAAATACCGGCGTGTCAGTGTAGGCGTTTTATTTTTGTTTATGTTGTTGTTAGCGCAGCCGCCATTATGGTTTGCTGCCACAGTGGTCGCCACTGATGCTACCGCCATGCTTGATTTTGTTGATAAGATTATGTAATTCCTGCTGTGTGCAAAAGTGTGTCTGTGTGTGTTGTCTTCGCTTCATTTTTGTTGGCCATTTTGTGTGCGCTTATCGCTGTGCAATAAAAACAAACGCATGCACACCCAAATACACACACACACACTCACACGCACGCACACACATTTGTTTGAACGCGCTTTTTCCCAAACCCAAACCGACACACACACACACACACATGAGTACACGAGTACAGTGGCAGACATCCAAAGTCGGTTAAGCGGTTGTTTGTTTACCGTTATACACGCAACACCTCGCCATGCACAAATTTTTGGCATTTTTGTGTTGGCGCAAATAAATTAATTTATTATATGTGTATGTACACACACATATGTACGTGTATTTGGAGCTTTGCATGTGCAACGCGTCGTATGCGTGATATGCCTCAAATTGGAATTTATTAAGCGCGCACGTGTGTGTGTGTTTGTGTGTGTGTGTGTGTAGTGGGCACACACTTAATGTGCCTGTGTGTGTGCAGCATCAAATTTTAATTATATGCCCTGTAGATTTCCTTTATTATGATATTTTTCTGTAAATATTGCGTATACGCCGCGTTTTATGACTTCATAAAATTTGCAGCGCTTCTAGGACTTCCTTTTTCAATTTAGCTGGCCGCTGAGCACGCAACTATGCCTTCAGTGTGCTGCTGGGCGCTGGATAGGGCGTTGTGGGTGGGGGCTGAGCGCTGGGGGCTGGGGGAGTGCTCGTAAAACTGGTAACAGTAAGAGGCAACCAACAACTGCTACACGCTTGAAAATGAAATGTCACTTGTGCTTAGCCTGGCCAACTGTCTGAATGCCTCGTTGGTTTTACTTGCTTTTATACTTATATATTGTTGTTCAGTGTGCGTGTGTATGTATGTGTGTGTGGGTGTGGGTGTGTGTGTGTTGCAAAATCAATTTGCCATTTACAATGGCAATGGCTGGCTCCCAGCACAGCACCCACACATCCGCACCATAACTTTGTATTGTATTCAATAGAATTTTCTTGTTATCTGCTGCCAACTGGGCTACTTCATCGTTGCTGCCATGCTTGCAATTTGATTTTAATTTTATTTAAAATGCTTTTAGTTTATGTACAAGACGTGCAGAGCTCTACTCTGCTGTAAATATATCCTTCACTTCAAACAACACAAAGCCAATGAAGTTTGATGTCTCATGTCGGAGCGAAAAAAGAGTTTCAAAGCAAAGTTTGTCAATATAAAAAATAGCATTTCCTCCCTCTCTCTCTCTCTCTCTCACTCTGTATCTGTATCTGTCTATTTGCTGTGTTGTGTGCGAGTGTGTTAGCGGAAAAGTACGAACGAAAGTGCTAAATGAAATCTAATAATGAAAAGTTTTTCAAATGCCAACTTCCTCGCACATAAATATTTGATAGCATTCTCGGGAAGGTGCCAGCTTGTGGATGGAGAGATGGATGGATGGGCATTGCTCTAAAAGACTAGGTGTATAACGACTAGGTCAGATTCCAAGAAACAAGAGCAAGCACAGAGCTTGTTGTTTTAAGTAAATGCGTTCTAAAAAAGACAGTAGTTGAGTAGGTAGTGAAAAATAAGTAGCGGAGAAATAAAAAAAGAACTACACAGATTTTATTAGAGAGCATAAAAGGATTTGGCATTGCCAGAAATAATATAGTCTGCTTCTTAACTAACTCAAAATATTTTGAAATTAACTCCACTGCTGATAAAAATGTTCGCAATTCGATTTAACACTAAAATATGCCTCTAGGAATACATTTGCTTATAACTTTGTTACTAGCTCTATAAATTTAGTGCGGCTTTAATAAACAGTGAAGCATTTTTGTAATAATCTGAGGCACATTCCGTTTAATTTAAATATATTTTTAGAAAATTCCATTTAATTGAAAGTGACTTCAAAATTTCGATTTCTAAGTCGCGATAAAATTCCACACAAGCTAGTATTTTTCATTTATGCAAGCGCACAATTTTGAGGGTCTTCCCCTCGCCATAAAGTTCAATTAAAATACGCGGCGAAGCCTGAGCAGCCCATCGGGTAATACGTCAGTCAGATACGAAAAAATGTGATTTGATGAAAAAATTTAGAGAGGCAAAAAGCCATAAAATGACACACGTGCCGCTGCTGCGGCCGGAAGCGCTGGGGGACCCGCATAAGTGACGTTGGTTGGCAGAAAATAAACCACAGCTAAACTTTGATTATAAACATTTTTATTTTGCAGCTGATGAGTTACGTGATGAGACGATGATGGGGCAGTCAGCGGCGATGGCAACATAAAAATCGCATAATTTTTTTCAATTACGGCCAAGTTGAAAAGGAAAACAAAGTACCGCATGGACTCAAAATGTCCGTCACATGCTATATGGTTAGTCGTTTATAAAAAGTTATGTTTTAGGCAAATGTGACAGAGAAAATAAAGTGGACAAAAAAACAACATGTTGGTCAAACATCAAACAAAAGGAGTGCATGCTGGAGTGGAGAAGGTGGGGGCGGAGGACAGTAAAATTTTGGGCCAAACTAATACATAAATACAAATTAGTTCCGCTGCCAGCGGCGTTTTTGATGCGCATGTCGAGATATTGTCATGGTCGCCAAGCGCAAACTTTCCCTGCCAGCCTGGCTGACAATAATTTATGGCTGCCTGCTTTTAGGCGCGCCGCAGCCAACAAGCCATAAAGTATGAAGTAGATGATTATGAGGCTGGCGGCATGCATTCAAATGTATATTATAAAAAAACAAAAAAATACAACTAAATTATCATGCTTTATATGGCAGCCACTTGCAACTCATGACTGACTTAGTCTAAGGCGATGTGACAGAAAATCTTCAGAGTTTAAAAAGAGAAATTGATTTTAAAAAGGTTTGCCATAAATATAAAGGCTCCTTAGCTAATTAACTTTTCGTGACTGATTAAATACTTTCTGCAACCGCCTAAGAATTAAAATCGTTTCAAAGTGAGTTCTGTTGTTAGTTTGAGTGTGTCGATGAAATCCTCCTATTAGTAGTAGTCAGTGATTATTATCGGTAATTGCTTGCTTACTACACTCAGCCTCGTCCGATTTGTCGCGACAATCGGGGCTGCCGTCGCAGACCCAGGCACGTGGAATACACTGCTCTCCATTCTTGCACTTGATCTCAAAGCCCAAGCAGAAGTGCACTGTGGAGTTGCAATTGAAAGATTGTTCGCACAACAGGCACATACAAGTACATTGAATATTTAAAGCATAAATGTGTATACTTGCATGTACTGATACATCGACTTTTTATAAGTATACGGTTTACTTACTGCAGAGGGCCGGCGTTTCATCGGAACCATCGGCGCAATCGTTCTCGTGATCGCAACGCCATTTATTGGGTATGCAGTTTCCATTGTTGCAGCGAAATTGCTCGACCCCGCAAGTCGACTCTGTAAGGAAGCAAGAAAGAAAATGGCTTGTTAAAAATTCAATTTGCAATATGAGTTCAAGGGGCAAACAATTCATTTTCCTTTTCTTCGCCCTCTACTTCTTATTTCTTGTGAATATACTATAAGAGTATACAAGTATAGAGCATAAGTCGTAAAATATGTAAGCCATTTGCGTGAAATCAAAGCATTCCGCCCTCCCATCCACCTTCCCATCCAACTCGTTAATGGAGTGGGCGTGGGCGTCGCGTCGGAAATCTACTTTTTATGCTTCAATAGTTTTTCATGTCAAAAAATAAATGTGATTTTTATGTTGTTTGGGAGGCTCCCAGTGAAAAACGTGCCACCATCTAGCCCGAGGAAGGAAGTGTGAAGTGAGAGTGTGCCGGCGTTTGCAAATTTTTGGCAAGGCTTTGTTTTATGCGCACAGATACAAAAAGTATAAGATATATGCATAGACATTTTATGGTCATTGATTGTGTTTATGAGTTGCTTCCGAATTTTCAAAGCGCTTAGCTCAGCAACAACAGCCATAGATGATTTGCATTGTTAAATTGCTTTGCCAAGCAATAACATTTTAAACAAAACAAATACGAGTCCTAGCCGGTTACACTTGTATTTTGGAATAGCTGTGAGCCGGGCTCTGAAATGAAATATACTTGTACTCGTGTTTTCAAGACAAAATAAATTGCTGTGAAAAATTGCTTGTGATTTCAATTGTGGATAAAAAATTAAGCGTCAAACTTTCCTTATTTCCACTTAGAAAGGTATATTTCAAATTTAAATTTAAGCAAATTTAGTCAAGCAGAAACCAATTAATTTTGTAGAAAAGAAAATATCTAGCGATTTTTTGTTTGGTATTTTTAACTTTAAATATATTGATAAAAAAAAATGAATTTTTACTGAACGAGCTTTGTAAATTTAGTTTTCGAATGTGGCGTTAGTTTCAGATAGAGTTCTTATTTTTCTAACTTAACATTAAAAACTAAGAAGAACGCGCCTAATTTTAGAGAAAATAATTCTTTAAGAGACTTTTAATCATTTAAACATTTTTTTGTAAAGTTCTAAATGAAATTCTAATTATATTATATTTTTCTAAAACAACATTTATTCTGAAAATGTAGAAAATAACTCTTTTTATGGCATTTTTTTAAACTAATAAGGAATCGAAGTTTTCGGTTTAATTTCTAAAAATGTTGAATTGTTTAATTTATTTTATGCAGCTATTACAAAGAATGGATCCTTTTTTTTGAAGAACTTTATTCATTTCCAGAGATGGAATTATGTGCTTCAAATATACATAAAGCTTTAAAAACAGCATATTTAGGAACTTTGTAAGCTATGCAGCTATCAAGAGATAGAAAACAATGAAAAAACTTGTTAAAATTACAGAACAACAAATCTATTTTTTGCCATTACTATAGTTACTTTATTTGAATCTAGTGCCTAAAATTATAACAACAACAATTTTTCTGAAGAGAAAGTGTTTTGAAGTCTTCTACTTACGTATTCAATAAAAAATACTGTAGCCAGATAATCTCAAGTGAACTGTTACTGAGCATAAAGTATGCAATAGCGGTTTTTTATATTTATTTGTTATATTGTAATTGAATAAAATGTCAATGCAAAAATACTTCGTTGAAGAGCTTTCGAGTAATGTAAGTGGCTGCTCGAGTTTGACCCTATTTGGCTATTTTTGCTTTCTGTTCAACATAATAATATAGGGTGTTTCTTTCTTACTTCAAATGCCAATTGCATATTTGCAAACATAAGTGTTACATTACGAGAGTTCCGATGATCCCCATCTATATGCCATTCTTCTAACACTCTTGCATTGGAGATGATGATCAACAAATAGCAAGGGCTATCCTAAATGGTCTGTGGCTTCTATCTAGAAAATAAATGTTTCTTTTACGTGGCATGGACAGCCAGAGCTCTGTTCGTTCTCGTTCTGACGACAAAACGAAAGATGTCTTATATCGAGAGGTGCTTCAATGAAGGCGCATGCTTCGAATGCAACCCATCCAACAACAATAGTTTTACAAAAAGTTGTGCAATAATATTTGCCTAAAAAAAGAAACTAAAGATGTTATACCTATACTCTATGATTTATCTATACGAGTGAAGGAAATATGTTTTTCTTTGTAATATCAATTCAATGGTTTTTTGACAGGTGGTTGCTTTTTTTAAACACCATTAAATGAACATAAAAGCACATAAAAAGATATAGAGATATAATTTGAATGCATTTTCTGAGATGATTTCAGTATAACGTATTTCGTTTATTTATTTTATTATAATTATTTTTTTTGAAAGTTCGAAACGACTTGAAAAACACCCTTTATTCCATTATATGGCTCTTTAAATGTTCAGTTAATGTTTTGCATTTAAACTAAACTACAAATTTAATGCGAAAATACCAACCAAACTCGACTCCCCACTGCCGTTTGAATTTCGTCATGCCACCCAAACCATTGGTGAGGCATATTCCTAGCCCCCAGTCAACGTGCAGCTGCCACTGCTGCTGCTATGCGGTAGCTTTGGGCAGAGAGGCCCCCTGCCGAAAACCATAAACTTGGGCTCAACTTTTTGCATGTTTGCTGTGCCTTCGCCCGGCAATCCCAGCAGGCCGGCAGGCTGGCAGGCAACGTGGCAGTCTGAGGGTCTGGCAGCTAGTCAGTCAGGCTGTTAGGCTGTTAGGCAGTCAGTGTCACCGCACTGCGAAAAATGCGCATCACGTTTTCCGTTTGGGGACCTAAGTAACGTATTTACCTAGCAGCGGCATTTAACGCAGCGACGCGGCAACTGAGCGTTAAACAAAACTTGGCCAGCGTAATGAAACAGACTGCCACGGCCAGGATGAGCTGATTGGGGGAGACTAGGTTTAATGAACGACGCCAGCAGTCGGCCAACAGTTAGTCAAAAAAAGTGGAAAAAATTACTTGCAGTTGTATGTGAGATTGTAAGAAATTAATGAAATTTTCATAATGAAGTTATGAGCTGAGATTATAGTTGCCCGACAGCTGCTTGCCTTAGAGGTCTTAGTTCAAAGGTCCTGCTGTTTATACTACCGGCTGTCCTGTTGCTATTGGCTTAGCTGAGTGGCGAAGAAATAGAAAGTAGACAATTTTTCATTTTGTCATTTTAGTGACATACGCTGTAAGTCTGCGGACGACGGACATGCCCAATGAATATACTTGTGTGGAGTAACTAAGACGAGACGCATCGATTGCGACATGTCCGCTTGTCCATCAATCTGTCTCATCCGCTGTGCGAGTGTATGAACAAAGATAACTTTTGAGCCATGGCAGCTAGGAACAACAAACTTGGCATGCAGACTTGGCCTATCTAGCTGCAGATAATGTCAACAACAATATACATATATAGCCTTATTATTTTATATAGCTGTCATAGAAAGAATCGAAGAAGAAAGCACAACTAACCAGCACTACTAACCAGTACACTGTATCTTATAGTTGCCCTAGGAATTATCTGTTAGAAAACGTTTTTGTACATCACGTTTTCATAGAAAAATGTTGTATTTGTCTGTTTTTAAGAAAGCTTATATTTGTTGCTGAACTGTGGTGGAGAGGGAAGCCGTTGCAGAGTATCCAAGAGTCGTCTTCGTGCGTGTTTGAATGTTCTATGTGTTCCTTTTTCTTTGGTTACTTCATATGTCAAAATCTGCGCGCCTTGTTTGCTTCTCAATGTCAGCACAGCGTCAACATTTGCATATAATTATTTATTTATGACTTAATAGACTGGCAGTAAAGTCCACACCTACACACTCACGTCCACACACACACGCAGGACACACATTTTGTAATTCGTATACATATAGATACCTATGTATATATGACTGTATATATTCTATTCAGAGCAGCCGTCTAATGCATTAACAAACAGTCTGGCATTGAAAGCCTACAAAAGTCATCTTCTTGCTTGTGTTTTAGAAATCTTGGGTTGTTATGTTTACGAATAACTGACTACGTTGTATGGCTTTTTTATAATTTATTTTTTTACAGAGCTCGTTATTTGTGCAATGTTTATGAAAAGAAATTCTTTTAAAGTCAATACACGAGTAGCTCTCATATTTTTGTTGTGTGGCATATGTTTCGATATAAGTAGAGAATAATACATTTATGTATTTATATTCGAAACGGCCGACTTTCAAATTGTCTCATTTTAATTGGAAGTGTGGTTTAATGTGCTTTTTAAATCAGGAAGGAAGGAAAATCTATTAATGAACAAAATAGCTAATTCCAGAGTGTTTTGAACATTTTTATAATGCTATTTCAACTGTGATTGCGAATGCATTTTAAACAATGATCGAAGTTCTAAAATTTATTGAAAAGGGGAATGGATAGGTGGCTGAAAAGACGGATTAATAGATTGAGGTTTACGTTAATGGATAGACGAATAGATAGAGATAAGAATAGATAAACTTAGAGACAAACGAATAAATAGACAAATTGAAAGACGAACATTTAGACGTTTAGGTAGACGAATAGATAGGCGAATAGATAGACGAATAGATAGACGAATAGATAGACGAATAGATAGACGAATAGATAGACGAATAGATAGACGAATAGATAGACGAATAGATAGACGAATAGATAGACGAATAGATAGACGAATAGATAGACGAATAGATAGACGAATAGATAGACGAATAGATAGACGAATAGATAGACGAATAGATAGACGAATAGATAGACGAATAGATAGACGAATAGATAGACGAATAGATAGACGAATAGATAGACGAATAGATAGACGAATAGATAGACGAATAGATAGACGAATAGATAGACGAATAGATAGACGAATAGATAGACGAATAGATGGACAAATAGATAGAAGAAGATATAAACGAATATATAGACGAATAGATAGACAAATAGATAGACGAAGAGATAGATGAAGAGATAGAAGGAGAGATATACGAAGAGATAGAAGAAAAGATATACGAATAGATAGACGGATAGGTAAACGAATTG